AGACAGAAAGAAAATAAGATCAAGGAGTGGTGAGTTCCCTTACTACCGAAGGGTCAGGTCGGGCTCCTTTCAGTAGAACACCACACTGACATATTGTGAGTTTGGATGTAAAACATTCGACTGACCCACGAGGAAGTTCCAGACAGGAGAGCCAGTGAAGTCTCTGAGCTGAGACTGTTCCTCACGCCTCAGAGCATTTAATTGGAGTGGAGTGAGAAAGGCGGGGTGGGGGAGGGAGTTGAAGACAGACCTGAAAGATACCCAGGGGTATGGTCATACTGAGTCTTGTAGAGCAATGTGGGGTCTTGGGGCTTTATTCTGAGTGAGATGAGAAGTCAGAGCAGTGAGGGAATTTAAAAAGGGATTGTCTGCCTATTGCTTTAGAATGAAACAAAGGATCACTGTAGGAGGGCGTGAGTAAACAGAGGACCGGTGAGCTGCCTAATGATGTAGGTGCTAAATGATGTTGCCTTAGCTTAGGGCAGTGGTGACGCTGAGGTAAGAATTGGTTGACTCAGCAGTCATTTTGGAGATGGACTGGAAGAGTTTGTGCTTGGATCTGATGTGAGGTGAGGTAGAAACAGGTGTCAAGGAGGAGGCCAAGGTTTGGGTCTCAGCAGTGGAAGGTATGACTGCTTCTCAGAAGTGTTGAGCTGCTAGGGTCACCGCCTGGCCTAAGCAGCCTGAACAAGCTAGTCTTAGTCAACAGACTAATTAAACAAGCAAGTAGTAGTGCGGAGCAGAAAAGATGTTTTCTGTGTGTTCACATTGGTGAGGGAAACAAAATGGTCCAGTGGCCCACGCCCAGGTCAATCTTCAGGGTCCCGACGTGAGGTTTAGGTTTAAATAGAATGCCTAGGCATACATGACTAAGCTGTCCTGGGCAACGTGTGGTCCTGTTCATTGTGGTCTCAGCTCCAGTCTCTCCTGCGTGGTGATCTGACACCCTGTCAGGACTGTGTGAAACCTTCCAGAAGACAACCCTCCCCACACTCCCCAGCTGACACCAGCCTTCACCCCTTTCCTTCCCCAGCATAGACTCCTGGGGAAATTCCAGCTTCTTGGGGTCCATTGTTTCCATAGATTGACAGTCACAGGGAGATGAACGGGCATCTTTGTAGAATGTCTTCATTACTAGGAGGGTCACAGAAGCAGGAGAAGATGACGCTCAAGGGCTAAGCCAAATAACTGTCTTTAGAAGGTGGCAAAATGGCAAAGACATGAACATTCTGCCCTCCACAGAGATAATGCAGATGCTGGCAAAGACTGAATACTCTTTTCTTTAGAACTCTGACAACGAACAGGAGGTTTGCCGCAACCTGGAGAATAGTTAGTGAAGAAAAAGGGCTGCGTTTTAGAACTTTTCAGCTTGCTCCGGTCTTAGCCCTCTCACTTCCACCAGCTACATGGAAGTCTTGAAAATGACAGCCTGCATTCCTGGGATAGCCATTTTGCTACCATCACAGGGAGCAAAATGGAGCCAGAAATATAAACTCCTCCTCAAAGAACTGCCATTCTTTTAGCATCTGGTTGTTTCTGGAGGACCCTTTAAAAAGGCTGTCTATTTGATCCAACTTAAATTCTCTGTTGTAGGAAGTCTATTTCTTAGAAGGCTTTTGTCAACAAAACAATGCTTCAGGCATCTCCTTTAACTTGTTTGGCTGTTTTAGGTAGTTTGGGCAAACAACAGACTAACCAAAAGCTTGAAAGGAGATTCAGGGGAATGAAATATCCACATATTCCTGGGAGCACTAACAACCATGCATGTGGTTGGGCCATGTTATGGTCAGGAACAACTGGAGAAGGCCTTTGGATTTCACCTCTGAGTGACCCAGTGATTGTGCAAGCAGGAAGTTAGGTTAAGGCAGAGCTGTCAACTTTTTGGCTGAGTGTTGAAGGCATGCTTCAACAAGCGTCCAGTGGCTTGGCGCAGGTGATTTACTGGTTCCAGGCATTTAAGAAAATCTGTCTGTCTTTTTACCTGATTAGTAAGCTAAGTAGAGACCTTTGGTAGTCACTCATGAGAAGAAAATACAGACTTTACATATTAGTTCTGAAAAGTTATTAAACAACAACTATAAAAAGCAGCAATGACAGATCCTGGAAAAAGGGGGAATCTGATTTCCAAAAATGTCATGTTGTGTTAAGATATCCTGTTTTTAACAGAAACACAAGACACACAAAGCTACAAGGACAAACAGCCTATACTCAGAGGAAATATAAAGGATATTGGGCTAATTATGCAAAATCCTTAAATCATTTATTTCAAATATATTCAAAGAGCTGATTGGAGCATGTCTATAAAGAACCAAAAATATAAGAATGGTACCCCACAAAATAGAGATAAAGAAATGATAAGAATAATAAATGCTTCAGAGTCGAAAAATTAAGTAAAGTGACCAGCGAAGCTGGACTGCACATGTGAGCCGGCAGAGAAAGACACAGCCCACCTGGAGGCAAGGCCACTGAAATTACCCAGCTTGAAAAGTGAAGGAAAATGATTAGAGCTTCAAAACTCTGGGGTAACATCAGGCATACAAATATACACAGTGGGAGTCTTAGAGAAATAAAACTGACAGAAATAATAAAGAAATCATGACAGAGAACATCCCAATTTTGATCAAAATGACAATCTGCATGCATGAAGCCTGCATTTTAAAGAAACAGAAAATCCTCAATCTAACCAACTTAAAACCGGAAAAGGTTTATTTTGGCTCACAGTTTTGGAGGGTCAAGCCCTGGCCTGTTAGGCTGCTGCTTTGGGGGCCCCCCAGGAGGCAGCATGTCATGGTAGAATGGTATAGTGGGCCGAACTGCTCACCCCATGGTAGTGGTCCCAGGTCCCCATATCCCCCATAAAGTCACAACCCCAATGATGTAACTTCCTCCCATTAGGCCACACTTCTAAACATTCCACAACCTCCCCATAGCAGTCTCTTGGGAGCAAGCCTTTAATAAATGGGTTTTGAGAAAAAAGCATTCAAGATCCAAGCTATCAAAGCTTGATCAGAGGGGTTTTGAGAAGAATGAAGGAGAAAGTAGTAGATGAAGTAAGAACAAAGAATTCTTTCATTTTTTAAAAAATGGGAACAGAGAAAGGCAGATGAGGGTGAAGAGCAAGAGACATTTCAAGAGGTGTGTATGCTCAGAGACATGGTTCAGCAGAGTGGAAAAACTGTGTGTCTTCTGTCTCTGCCACTAAAGAAGTATTTTTTAAAATATTTTTTATTTGAATTAGAAACAAGATTGCTTTACATGACAATCCCAGTTCCCTCTCCCTCCCGTCCTCCCCTACCACCCCCCCAACTAAAACCCTACCTGTCTCGTATCCTTTCTCCTATAAAGAAGTAGTTTTGAGACCACAGATAAGGTGTTGCATCGTGAGTCTTCTCGGCATCTCTGGCTGTAGGTAGAATATATGTGTACATGTGTATATATATGCATATTTGTTTCAATGTGTATGCATTACTACATAATACCTCATTAATCTATCATGCCCATTAGAGAGAAGACACACAAAGAGAAAAGTTTTCAGAGTTTAAAGATAAACAGAGGAAAAAAAATCACTAATTAAGATGGGAATCCCACCAGCATTAAGGCACAGTAGAACTCGGAATAAATACCTAGGAATGAAATCCATGCTTCATAGTGTTTGTTGTTTTTGCAGATTTTTAATTATGTGGCTGTCTTCTTACCAGCAATTGTAGCAATACTCGGTCTGATGATGTAGTGAGGTGGACAAGGAAGTATAATAATGACTAATTTTCTTGTTATTCATCCAACCCTGATGTCCTGCTGTCATTATTAGGGTTATCTTCAATCTATGCTTTCTTTGAAAAAATATTTTTTCTAATGAGTCAAAAATTTTTATTTGTTCACTTCTTCCATTTGAAGTACTCTTGGATGATGTTTTTGGCCTAAGTGTCTCCTCCACGATGGTGTTGCGTTATGGGTGAAGCTGAGGGAAGGTTTCCCTGGTGTGTGCCATGTTCTGCTCCTCTCTCCTCTGGCAAAGGAAGGACTCACCCAAACCTCATTCAAGAGATTTATTGGGAGGGAAGAATCCAGGAGCGTGGCTGCCCTCTGCCAGGGTGCAAGGAGGCAGCTGGTCAACCACAGCTGAACAGACACAGGGTTTATATAGGGCTTCTTATGGGCAGAGTTTTTCCAGGGAGATTTCCAGGGTGGGGACTGGTCAGATTTCAATCCCTAAACTCAGATTGGCTACATCTCGTGCTCAGGGATTGGTTGGTTTTCTGCTCAAGGTCGGGGCAAATTTGGCAATGCTTTCAGGGTCGAATTGTTTCTTTCACTGGTCCTTTTTAGCCCTTTAGCTCTAGTTTTAGGGCCAGGGTGTATTTCTTTCACTGGCCCTGATTCCAGGGACAAAGCGTGTTTCTGTGGCACTGGTTTCAGGGTCAGGGTGCGTTTCTTTGGTTCTGGTTGCAGGGCCAAAGTGTGTTTCTTTGGCTGACCCTTTTCCCTACAGTGCCCAGAACAAGCAAACACAGTTAGTGTAAAGACAGAGCTGGGGATGGGGTGGGGACCTTGGTGTCAGCGCCATCGATTTCGAGGAACCTGGGAAGACCTTGCCACATGGCAACAAAAGGCCTCGTCTAGGCTCTGGTCCCCTGCGGTGGCACCTGAACTTCTGAGGCCTTCCCGCCAAGGCCTCTAGGAGGATGACCTAGCGTCAGTATTGAGGTGACGGAACGTGGTCGCCGTGTGGACGCGTGCCAATCACCAGCAGAACGCACGCGTGCGTGCAACAGCAGCACGGCTTTCCCAACCCGGGAGAAAGGGCAGCCAACAGACGGAGAAGGGAGCGATGCCCTCTAGGGCGGCCTCTCATTGGCTGCTGTCGTCCCACCCTCAGTCCCTATTGGCTGCGAGCCGCGCACGCGCGCCAAGCACGCTCCCACCGCGTCCTGTGGCCTTGGGGCCGCTAACGGAGGCGCAGCCAATGGGAGAGCCCGGAGGCGGGGCAGGCGGAGCGGGGCGTGCGCACGCGGGCCCGAAGGTAAACAGAGTCGAGCGTGTGCGGGGCGCTCGCACCGCTGCAGCGCGCGGAGGCGTCGCGGAGCTGACGGAGGAGCCTGCCTTCCTGCAGCCGGGTAAGGCTGCCGCCTGCCGGCCCGCTGCTACCCTCAGCACCCCGGGGTCCGTCCTTACATGTTCAAGCGACAACGCGGCCTGAGGTTGCGAGTTTCCCCTGCAGCCGGGGCGCCGTGGCCAGGCGGGGGTGCAGCCGTTTCCCGTCCCGCGTCCGCGTTTGCAGCTGAGGGTTCCGGGAGGCACCCGGAGCCCGCTCGCCCCGGAGCCCGCTCGCCCGGCCTCTGCGCCCGTCCACGCACGTGGCTGCCTTCCTCGTAATAATGTTCCCTGAACTCCCAGATCATCGCAGTGTGCGTGCACCGGGCTCTGGTTGCAGTTTGTGTCAGGACTACGACTTCTGTGCCCCAGCCAGCTCTTGGGGTTCGCAGCTAGATCTAGGGTGAAGTCGAGGAAGGCGTCCCTCCCTTGTTCCTTTTCTTCGCTTTTTGCTCCTTCCTCTTGTTTTTCCAGACACTGGTGGTCACTCGAGCCGTTTGGAGCGAATTCCCTCGTTCTCTTGCACAGAGGCTGCCACATCACTCAGACAGGCCCACGGTTCTAAGCGTGAGGGAGGGGGCAGAGAACGCTGCAGGGGCGGGGGTGGGTGCTGGGACCCTTTACTGGCAGGGGCTTCCTGAAGGGGCAGAGGCTGTGTGCACACTCCCAGTTTGGGTTGGGTTGCAGCCTGATAGAACATTGCTCCATGCGCTCTTGGGCTTGGTATCTGTGGGGCAGGACTCTGGAGCTAGGGGTGCCAGGCCGACCACCTTGCCCGAGGAGTTGGATTAGTGACCACGCCAGTCTTCTAGTTGTGCTGTGGGTAGTGGGTCATGCTGGCAGGAAGGCTGTTCGGGGACTTGGATCGAGGAAGGCCCTTCTGGAAAGAGGCTAGAGGAGTTTGTTGTCTCACAAGAGCAGCATCCATTAAGACTCAGAGGATAGCTTTGGCTTATGGTATTTAACCTTGCTAATAGTGAAGGCAGCTGATCATTTTTGAATCAAGACTCAAAGGAAAAATTAAGCAGGCAACCTGGACATTCTCTCTGGGCCAGTGAATCATGCAAGACAGAGCTTCCCAACGCCAGACCCTTAATATTTTGGATCCGTAAGGGTTTACTGTGCCTGCTTGTATTGTGCCTTGTAGGATGTGTAGCAGAATTCCTGGCTTGTATCTGCTAAACAAATAGTGATCCCCTCACCCCACCAATTGTGACAATTGAAAATATCTGCAGACATTGCCAGATACCACTGAAGAGCAGAGTGGATTGATCTACATAGGCAAGACTCCAGACAGGGTCATCCCCTGCTGCCAGCAGTCTTTCTGCAACCTGCCTACAAGTAGTTGAGAAATTTAGGACAGTGTGAACCAGGCTGGAAACAAGTGCTGGAAGCCACGTGGACGGGGCTTTGAAGGAGAAAGCATAAGCGTACAGGGTGGTACAGGTGAAACCTTCCACAGGATGGTTGGAAGAAGAAACCCTGGGCGTTTGTGCTGGATAAATGTGATTGGATAGATTGAAAGTATAAAGATGTGGAAAACTGGTCGTTTCTCCCCTAGGAACATTGGGAGACTTGGTGGGAGAGCACAGGAAACTGGCATAGGTTGGTTCTTCATTGGTGAGCAAACAAGTGGCATCTATCTGCTTTGTCTGCTTGGACATCTGTCTGTCTTGTAATGTGGAAGGAGAGCACACCCGTGTCTTCAGGGAGTGTCCAGCTGCACACCACACATACATGCTTGTACACGTATACAGGCGTTCTGATGCAGTGTGTGCACATGTAGAGTTTGTAGAATTCTTTTATAGTTGATAGGTATCTCAAACCCGGTGCCCCATTTCTTCTTATGCAGAGGAAGAGGCTTTGCCTTGAGTCTACAGATTTGCTTTCAGTATAACCTAGAATTTAGGTGCTGAACTTACTGAGTCCTAAAATGATGGCTATTCAGAAACTATGAAAGATAGTGCACTGGATAAATGCATCGGGAAAGAAAAATATCTCAAGCCTCCACTGTGAATTTGCATTTCTTAATTGATCCTGTGGGCATGTGTCAGAATTCCACAGCAAGGGGACACTCCAACTAGGAGGTTTCTGGGGTGCGCTTTGTTATCCACAGAAATGGGTCTGCAAGGGCAGCCACTTCCTCCTAAAGAGAGGGTTATTATTGGGAAGCTAAACGCTTGGCAGGATAATTTTCCATTAAGAGCCACCGACACTGAGTCATTATCTTTGTCAGTTGAAACCAGAGCCGTGTGCAGAATTAGACAGGAATATTTAAAGAGTTGTCTCAGTTCGACAACTGGAAATAGTTATAACATTCCTGTTAACAGTCCAGAACTGGGGAGAACCAGTGGAAAGGGAGGTCTCGGGGAGGGGTGGGGAGCTCAGAGGTCCTGTTTCTTCTGTAATTGCTCCTGTGATAGGAATGGGCGTGAGGGAGGTGGCCTTTGAGGCAAGGGTGACCCTAGTCACAAGTGGTGGGGTCAGAGGGACCATAGGACTGAATATATGCAGGTAGGATATCGGGTCAGAGTTCTAGATGGAGAAGAAGTTGTGTAATGGTGTTGTAACTGAAATAGAGGTCAGAGGAGCAGGAGAACTAATCTGGGGCCGCTGATACAATGTTAGTGTCAGACATGGGGGCCGAGTGCCATTGCAATGATGTCTTTCATCCCTTTTATTAAGATATCATTTGCACTAAATTCACCCATTTTCATACAGTTGAAAAAATATCACTTAACTACGCCACAGACAAAAGTTAGAATAATTTCATCACCCTTCAAAGTTGTGCTGTGTGCCTTGTAGTTGCTTGTGGTGCTGGCATGGGTGTGCAGTGTAGATGTGGGCAACTTGGCTCAGAGAGCCTCCCTGGCCTGAGAATGGGGAGGCCTTGCCTAGCCCATGGAGAGGAGGAAGCAGCCTAGAAGACAGTACCCAGTGGGAAGGCAGGAAGGGCTAGGACCAGCTTGAGCTGGCTCAGCTGTGGAGTGTGGGGCAGGTGAAGAGAGGCTGAGCAATGAGGCCCACCAGGAGGGAGAGGTGTAGAATGTGTGAGGCCTACGGAAGTGGACAGTGGTGGCGGTAGGTTGCAGAGTCCCCCTGGCTTGCTCTTCAGGCAGAGTTGGCAGGAGCTTGCCTAGGTTTGCTTCAGGGAGGCTGGGCGTGAATTGTGGGAATGAAAGAAAAGGCTTTTATAAAAGGGGACAGTCACAAGAAGGTGGCTGAAAGAGAGAGAGGAGGGTCTGAGATGGACCAAGAATTTGAAGGTGTTCATATATGATTGCCTGTGTTCTAGGGTAGAAGGAGAAAAGAGGTCTGCTGCAGGAGGAATTCCTCCTGGACTAAGTATGGGGGGGCAGGGTATCCTGTGGGAACACCACCGAAAGAGAAAGCGCTCTCTCTCTCTGTCTCTCTCTGTGTGTGTGTGTGTGTGTGAGAGAGAGAGAGAGAGAGAGAGAGAGAGAGAGAGAGAGACAGAGACAGAGAGAGAGACAGAGACAGAGAGACAGAGAGACAGAGAGAAACAGACAGACAGAGATGCAGAGGGAGTAAAAGAGACACACACAGAAACACACACACACACACACACACACACACACACACACACACACACACAGACAGACAGACAGACACAGACACAGACACAGAGAAACAGTTTACCACAGAGAGGTGTTTCTCCACTTTCTAACTCTAACCCTGTATCTCACTGGGCTTCTGAGGTACATACAAGCCTTCTGCTTGTACCTTCGTGAGGACAGCATGGAGCTGCACCTCCTCTGCTTTTTGATGGAATGTCTTGTGGGTCTTTCCTAATTCTTTTAAGCATTATTCTCTCCAGACCTGGTTAAATCTGAAAGGGCCACTTCAGAAAGAGCTCCATGTGGCTCCTTGTCACCCTTCTGTACTCCAAGAGTAAATAGTACTGTCTTGATTTACATATGGGGAAATGGGGGCTCACTGGCCCCAGGAGCAGAACTGGTGCCCCCAAGGTCACATGTAGCTAGCTGGTGTCCAAGCTGCAGCTAGAAACCATTTGTGCTGTCAGTCTGTCAGCCTGTAACGTGTGCTGTCCAGGAAGTAGAGGACCGGCTGTTCACTGCGCTGGATGATACATTCTGGAGACTGTTCACATTAATGTCAGGTGTTTGTCTCCAGTCCTGGCATGGAGGAGGGAGGCAGAACAAATTGCAGTAGTTTGCAGGTGGTTACCATTTGACAGTGCTCATGGACATCTTAGTTCTTGGAGAAACTTAAGAGCAACGTGGTGACTCTTGCTCCGAGAGGTGTTGGTAGCCAACACTGGGCATTGCTGTGGCCAGGTTTGTTGTTATGTCCTTCTTCCTGGCCTAGAATTTCCCGTGAATAGCCAGGGCAGACTTGTTTCCCGAGCCACAGTTGCTTGCTGCCTCCTTCCATCCCCTCTTGTAGACAGGAATGGAACGAATAGAGGAAAGTGCCTGTGTCTGCAGACTCATCAAGTCAGCCTGACCCCTGTAAAAACTGCCTTTGAATGGGGCTGCTGCTGTTGCCAAGCTGGCATCTATGTGCTAGGGGGTAAGGGAGGCGAAGCACATAGGGGCCATTTTCTTGTGTTCTGCACTGGTTGCTGGACTCTGTGGGTGTTTCCAAGTGGCTGTCAGCATGCTGAGCCACCTCTCCTAGGTAGTGCCTCATACCACCTGGCTAAATAACCCATCCTGGTGAGGACCAGGCTGCCCTTTCCCTGCCCTGCCTGTTTCCTTGACTAGGAAGTGAAAAGGTATTCTCAATCATCTATGTTCTCTTTGCTTTCACCAGGTCTATACCAGGGTACCTGCATGGTCCTAATGTTAATAATCGCACAAGCTAGTGGTTTTAGATAATCATCGCATGCCCTAAATACCCATGTACTTTCATGTGGGAGATCTAATGTACTCCTCTCAAGTGCAGATGAGAAAACAGGCTCAAAACCAAGCTTATATAATTTAACTTGTGTGTCAGCAGCAGAGCCATGGTTCAGATCAGTGACCAATCACTACCTGAA